CGCCACCGGCAGCACCCGCCCCGGAGGTCAGGCCTCCCGAGGCCCCAGCACAGGGACCCAGACGCTCAGCAAGGGCACGGCAGCCTCCAGCGTACCTGAAAGACTATGTTTCATAGGGCAAGGTCCGGACTATGGGGGGAGGGGTGTAGTGTCCGCGGACCGCCACCGGAGGTCAGCGCATATGCCCTAGCTTCAGTCCGAACAACAATAGGGACTAGGATTCTAGTCCCTCCTCTGGGGAACCAATGGGATCCGTGGCGGGAGATTTGAACCCACCAATGGTGACCAGGGGCGGTCCCCAGGTGTGTATATAGTTGGCCTGCCAGCCGTTTTTCTCTTGTCTTTGTTGTGTGCTAATAAAGCGTGCTATGCACCACGTCGTTGTCTGTCGTTCATCCATGCGGCTACCCACTACATAACACTACCTCAAGAAGCAGTTCTTGCGCTCAGTGTAGGACTCCAAGGATGCGTCTCCCACAGAAGAGGGTCGATTTCACCCCCACCGTCTCGAGTCACAGGGCTTGAGGGAGCTGCTGGAGAGACCACCAGGGAAACCCGTGCGGAGCGCAGGCAACAGCCCGGCGGCTTCCGTCCTTCACTCGCACCCCGTCCGCGCCTAAGAGGAACCTTCCTTTCCCTCCCCGGAAAGGCCTCAGCTCGGACGGGTGACGGGCTCTTCTCGAGGCCTACTCCACGGGGAGCGCTTAGCCGGTTGCACGCCGGCCCCAGGCCGGAAGAGAACGCGAAGGAAGGCGGGGCAGGGGGCGGCTCCGGCGGGCCGGTCGGTCGGTGTTGTGGCGGCGGCGGCGGCGGCGGCGGCGGCTCGCGGGGCGATGAACGGCTCGGCCAACCCGCTGCTGGACAAAGAAGAGCACCCGCTGCAGCTGGGCGAGAGCTTCGAGCGGCACCCCAAGGCCTCCTTCCACACCATCCGCTGTGAGTGGCCCGTGGGTGGGGGCCGCGCTTCGGGCTGGGCGAGGCGGCCAAGCCGGGCACCGGCTCGCGGCCTCGTCCCGCCGCTTGAGGAGCCCGAGAGGATTCAGACCCGGGTGATCCAAAGCCGTGGGACTGCTCTACTGTTGTTGGTTTTCTTATATTACCCTACCCCGCAGTGTTGTTGTGAAGATAAAACGGGGGGAGAGGAGAACTATTTATGCCGCCCTGAACACTTTGGGGGAAAGGATGGCTTTAAAACTCAGGTTAAATGTGGTTTTGACAGCAGCCCTCTTCCCCCAGAATTACAGCAGGTGAAGCATTTCTTTACATTCAGATTTAAAGAACCCAGGGAGGGGGGGCTTCAGGGGGAAATTATGGTTATGACCAGTGTTCCCTCTAAGCTGAGTTAGTGTGAGCTAGCTCACAGTTTTTTAGCCTCCGGCTCACAGATTTTTGTCTTGGCTAAAAAAGGAGGGCTCCAGAACACACTAATTTATGCAGTAGCCAAATCACCTGCTCACAACTTTAATGCCAGTAGCTCACAAAGTAGAATTTTTGCTCACAGGACTCTACAGCTTAGAGGGAACATTGGTTATGACTGTGTTTAGTACGGGGGGGGGGGACGTTTGTTGAGAAGCCTGCATTTACCTGCTAAAGTTTCTGTGTCTCAGGTTTTGTTAAAGGATACACAGTTAACAAAGAAAAGTTGATGAATCTTCTTGTAGCTTTCTTGTACTTCTTGTAGCTTTTGTTCAGATAATCTGAGCATTATCAACAGCCCCATAGCCAGCAATGTTGGTTCGGTGGGGCATGGGAAATTTTGTGGGGCAGCAGGGGAGGAGGGAGGGGCAGCTACACGCCTTCCCTGAACTCCAAGCAACAATTTCATCACTTGGAGATCAGGCACGGGCAGCCCCCATTAGAAAAACAGCATTTAAAGGGTTCCCCTTAAACGCTTGGAGTTCAGGGCAGGCATGCGCCTGGCAGCCACCGATCTCCCTGCAAGATTTAAAGAGTCTGTGGATCAGCTGGAGGACTATTTAAATCTTGGCGGAGGAGAGGTAGAGGGGTGGCTGCAAGATTTAAAGGGCCTTCCAGCTGATCAGCAGGCCACATTCTCCCACCAATCAGCTGGAGGGTCCTTTTAATGTCACAGGAGGGGAGGGGCAGCAGCTGTAGTGGGGCATGGCTCACATTTGAGGGGGCAGAGCCCCGTAATGCCCCACCATAGCTATGGGCCGGCCCTGATTATCAGAGGCAAATTGGCTTTCTGGATCCATGAAGCAAAACCCTCAGTTCCCTTCTCTTATCTCCCTGAGTTTAGTTCCTGGTCCCCAGTTCTGTATGTAACTCATTCTCAACTCAAATTCTATCCATTGTGGTTTTATCTTGTTATTGCCCCAGAGAGCTCAAAATGGTGTACATAGTCTTCCCGTCTTCATTTTATCCTCACAACAGCCCTGCAAAAAGCAAGTTTGGCACAGGATGATTGGCCCAAGGCACCCAATGAAGTTCATGGTTGAGGGGTGTTTGAACCCAAGTCTCTGTGGTCCTAGTTTGACATTCCAATCATTGTATCACATTGGCTCTTCCTTACATTCACTGTAGTAAATAGTAAGTGGTGGTGAGTTTATACAAAAAATGCCAATAAATGATTAACATATTTAATACCTCTTAATATTTCTCTCTAGATGATTTCAAGCCAGCATCAATAGACACATCCTGTGAGGGGGAGCTGCAAGTCGGTAAAGGGGATGAAGTTACAATTACATTACCCCATATCCCAGTAAGTTTACTTTGCATCCAGGTGCAGAGTCTACTTTTCTGTATTTAAGTTCTGCTTCTTATGATTTTTTGGTCTGAATTTGTAAATCTGTGGCCAAATATTATATGCTTCAAAAGCACAGAGCAACAACTTACAAGAGCTAGAGGTGATCAAGAGAGAAAGAACAGGTTAGCCTATTCTGTGGCACATTTGATGTATTCATATGTTATGTCACAATTAACTGGTGGATCAGACTCCAGTTGTCTGACTGTAGATTGTCACACAAATTAATGTTCACCAGTTGGTACCAAACTGGCACTTCATAGATGGTTTGTTGATTTCAGTTTGCCTTAGTGCATTGTGTTGTGACATCTAAATTCCAAACCACAGTTTGTTGAGTAGCACACTTCTTGTGGCTATGTGGCCATAGTACAGAAAGGCTGTTATCTATGCTGGGAGGCAAAGAGAATGCAAGGGGTGGGAAAGCTGGGATTTGTTGCTTGTTACTCTGGTAGACTAAACAGAGTTCATTGTACACACCATGGTTTATCAGAAAGTCTGAATGCGGTAATTCTGTAGACCAGTGGTTCCCAATTTATTTCAGGCCAATGTTCCCTTGGTTCCATGAACTCATCCCCAGTGCCCCCTACACACTCACACACACACTTGGAAAAAAGCATTATTCAGAAGAACAGCAGTTTGCATGACCCACTAAGGAAGATAACAATAAAATTCAAAACAATATATTCAAAATCTAATTAAAACTTTTTAGTTTAATTCATTCAATGAAATTGATTCACATGATCCAGTGATACCAGCTTTTCAAAGTCTGATAGTCATTCAGGAAGAATCTTAGATATCGCATTTAATAACTACTTCTCTGTTCAGTAAATTTTTAAATCAATGGCTGGGCTTGATGAAGTGATACCACTTTCTCGATGTCTTGATGTCTGGTTTACACTTAGCAGGAATCTTAAATCACCACATTTAGTAACCTGGAGCTGATTTCTTTGCATGGAGAGAAGTTCGATATCCACAGTAAAGCCTCGTTTCACCAAATGTGACGCTGAAAATGCAACAAGGAATTTTTTAACTACTATCCGTAATACTGGATAACAGTCAGAAATTTCCTTCTGTAACCAATCTTGGTATGATTTCTTAAACATGAGCCTTAATTTTAGTCAGTGCCTTAATTTTAGTCACTGCAGTAATGACCATGTGCAATGGCTTGTGCAGGTGATCAGTGAGATTTTTTGCAACCAAATGTTTGCAGTGAATGACACGGTGAATGGTAAAGACATTTAGCACTGCTTTTTTCAAGTAAGCAACACACCCACAGTAGCGACCAGGCATTGGTGATGCTCTATCAGTTGCACAAGCAAGTATGTTAGTAAGTGGAATTTCCTTGTCTTTGAAGAATTGCTCAATAACACAAAATATCGACTCCCTTTTGAATCTGTTCTTAGTTGTCTTGCAAATTACAACTCTGGAGCCAAACATCTTTTATAAAGCGCACATAAGTGAGAAGCAAACATTCATTGCCTGGCAAAGTTGACTTGTCCAGCTGTAATGCAAATTCTGTTGTCCTTAATGTGCTTCACAATGTATTTTGCACATTTTCAGCCATTTCATGGCTCTCTGTAGTGGTGGTGCTGCTGCTCTTCAAGTGTTTTCTGTTGCTGCAGATCTTTGGAGGCTGCAGCTCTCTGGAGCCTCCTTAGGCTCCTTCTCAGGTCACTCTGTTCTCTGCCCTCAGATTCAGATGGCTTCTGTTTCCTTTTTCCTCCTCAGAATCCTCTTTTTTCCCTCAGGACTCTCCTACAGCTCCCTCTCAGGGACAACATACCCCCCCAAAAAAAATTCCAATAGAGGACCAAATCCACAGTGTTACACTTATATAACCTAGAAATATTAATATTGGTTCTCTGTGTATGTAATACTGAATTAGACAGTGTTAATGGATGGAGCAAGTAACTACTAATATATAGTTCAGTGCCTGTATTACAAAGAGAGCAATCCCAAACAGGTTTATTCAGAATCCTACTAAGGTCTATTCAACTGAGCTTACTCCCAGGAAAGTGTTCTTAGGATTGCACTGAATGTAGAATTGTGAAACCTCTTACGGTATAAAACAACTGGAGATGTTTAATATGCATTTAATAAATGTTTATGCTTCTTTAAATTAATATTTGTAACCAAATGCAGTCAAAGTAACAGAGAGTCTTGTGGTAAACCTATGAACTAATGGTGTTTTTAAATTTTAATTTAAAAAAAATGAACTAATGGTGTTGCAAACAGGGATGGGCACAAACCTAAAAAATGGGATGGCCCCTGAACTGAACCCCGAAGCATGCCGACAGGCCCCACCTGAACTGATCCGATTTGGCGAGTTTGGTCCCCTCTTTCTCAGAGAAAGGAGGGGGATCTAACAGCTCCTGTGCTGCTCAGTTGTTAGGTCTAAATGTCCCCAAAGAGCCGAACCAAACTCAACAAAAGTCTGGTAAATGTTTGAGGAAGGCGCGTTCCCCAAACATCGGTTCAGGAGCTCTGAACCAGCCCAAGTTCATGCTGAATTTTGGCTTGTGAGCTGGTTTGTGCCCATCCCTAGTTGTAAGCTGGAGCCTGTTTTCACAAAAGCTTATCTCACAAAATACTTTGGTTAATATTTACAATGCCATTTAAGGTTATTTTCGCTTCAGCAGACCAACACAGCTACCCCACTGGAATCATGAAGTCATTTTTTCTTGGCATAAACACCTGCACCTATTTAAACCTGTAAATTATCTGTGTGTTTCTCTAACACCAGGGTTCTACTCCTCCAATGACTGTGTTCAAAGGAAATAAAAGACCATACCAAAAGGATTGTGTACTGATCATCAATCATGATACTGGAGAATATGTGCTTGAAAAACTAAGCAGCAGCATTCAAGTCAAAAAGACAAGGTATAAATGGCTCACGGGAATGCCTGGGGGCCAATTAAAGCATGAAAAACAGCCCTTCCAAAACTGCTTCAGATTGCGGGTGGAAGACCACATCTTTAAATCCATGTTAAGGCCGGGGGGGGGGGGCTCCCTTCACATGAAATACTAGAATATCCAAGGGAAGGTTACTTTTGTTTCCTTCTTGGTATGCTAGCTTTCCACATGCAAGGAGTTTTTAACGAGGGGAAATGTTAGGCCTGCAGTGCGTCATCTGCTGTCTGAAGTAATTCAGTCAGGAAAAGGGTGTGCCATGTTCTCTTTCTGCATATTTGGAAATTGAATCATACTGCAGAAGGGGTGGATTTTTTAAATTACTTGAGGCACAGTCCTCAGCACTTACATTGGAAGATCTGAGCAAATGCTTAGCTGTTGCATTGTCATTAGAATCAGTCGGATTTAAAACAGTTTTTCTGTGTCTGGATTGATCTTGTTGATTTTTTGATGGTCTAACAGTTTTATCCTAAGGAGAGTTACACCTTTCTAGACCCACTGACTGAAAAGGTTTTAGCTCTGCTTAGGATGGCACTGTCAGCGTGCAAGTGAGTGTGCTGGAATGGCAAATGAGAAAGCCTTTATTTAAATCTTGTGTTGGGGAAAACTCCTGTTGCTGATCGTCCGTGCAGCCTTCCTGACAACCCCTCCATCTGTCTCATCTCCATCTGTCTAAACTCTGCTTCCAGAATAAATTATGGAAAAGTGCACCAGTGTGGTTAGTTTGCAAAATTCTAGATTTTGAGATTTCACAGAAATTTTGGAAGGGGTTAAGAAATGGGCAGTGGGGAAGGAACATACATGGAAGGCATTGTTGTCTGCATTCAACCTGTGTGTTTCAGAGCTGAAGGCAGTAGCAAAATCCAGGCCCGCATAGAACAGCAGTCTGCCCGAGGCTCACAGCCTTCCACCCAGTTCAGAACTCCTCCAAAGCCCGTGGCTGGTCCCAAAACTTCCCCGCTGAAAGACAACCCTTCACCAGAGCCTCAGCTGGATGACATTAAAAGAGGTATGGCAGCCATACTGTTCTTTTTATGTACCATCTTGTAACTTCGTGATATAAATACTTAATTGATTGGTTTTAAAGTTGCAGCATTTTTAGTATTCCATGTATCCTGTTTATGTTTTAAAATTATTATTTGGATCTTGTGTTTAGAAAAGGTTATGACACTAACATTCGGTCCTCAGTATGATAGTGCAACATCATTCTTTTCAAAATTTGCGTTAGTCCTATGCAACTAAAAAAAAAATCTGCAAAAATTGAGATGTCCAAGTTGCATTTTGTAGTTTATATCCTAGAAGTCCTAGCAAGGAGGATGACAGTGAAGCTGCTAGCGCTTCAATGATGTTCCTCTGATGATCCACAGAGCAATTAGACAAATATTTATCAACCACTCATTCAAATAGTTGATTTTTTAAATTCTGTTTATAAACTTCCCTTCCAGGTACCTTATTGAAGGTGTTTTAAAAACAATAAGCTATCCAAACCTCTGTAGTTTTGAGCCTTATACTTTGAAAACTGTAAATGTGGTCTATTTTAATAGAAACTGTTGGCCACAGTGATGATGCTTAACCCAAATAAATTGTTAGAACAAGGAATTCACTGGACAGACTGCCACTAGATCACAACAGAGCTGACATAACGTACCCTTCATGTCTTTCCTGAGATGATTTCTGTCGCCATCCGCAGAGAGTCAAGAGCCGTCACTTCTGAATCTTTGCTGACCGAGTGCAATGTTCCCTTTCATCTGCTTTATAGATTGAGCAGTGTAACCAACACTTATAGCCTGTAAATGTAAATTTTTCTGTATTAAGGTTTGATACTTATTAAAACTGTTTCACAAACTGGGGCACTGCCACAATGATTACAATCGATTTTGAAATAAGAATGTTTAGAAGCGGCTGCATTTCTGTCACAACCTAAATAATAAGATATAAAATTTCTTGTAAAATGCAAAATTGTACAATACTTAAAACTGCATAGATCACTAAGGTTTTCAAAAAGAATTACGTTCAAGATCCTCTTTCCAAATATCATAATAAATTACTGTAGATGTTAACTTGCAGTAATTTTAAATAAACTGCTAAGTTATAAGGAACTGTTGTGCACCACCCAAAACCTTTAATTGCTGCAAACGTGAGCTGTTAACATGCCCCTGTCTTCCTTCTGGCAGTCAGTACTGAAGTTTTAAATAGGGCATTGTTTGTTGGGTGCCTTACACTGTTTATTTTACTTTGTTTCTAATTGAGTAATCCACCTTGAGCCACAACTAGAAAGATAGACTACAAATGGAGGAAATTATTAAATAAAATTACAGAGGATGGACGACTTTTACTTTTTACAAAGATTAAGCTATCCCTAGTAATCCTCTTGAAGATGCTTGAAGCAGAATGAAATCCAGCTTGCATTTATCTGAGCTGCAGATGCTAGAAAAGTAGATATAATATTTCAAATTTCCAGATATTAATATTTAGATGTGAAAATTCTGCATCTGCTTAGCAGTGGAATGTTTGCAACCGGAGTAGGTAAGCAGATACCCAGCTATAAGCCCATCTGTTTGCGTCACAGGGACAATTCCCCTGCATAATACATTCCAGTTGATATTAGGTAGCCCCAATCGAACCAATTTATAGTGTGTGACCTAGATTTTTCTGGATCTGCAAATATACCCCAGAGTTGTGAAGGTATTCATGATCTGCAAAATAATGCATTGATGGGAGGCACGTTAACTTACTAACCACCCCCGTCCTTTCATTCTAGAGCTGAGAGCTGAAGTCGAAATTATTGGGCAGATGAGCAGCAGTAGCGGCAGCAGCTCGTCAGATTCGGAGAGCTCCTCTGGGAGTGATGATGAATCCTCCAGCAGCGGCGGCGAGGAGGCTGCGCACCCTTCCCCTTCTCAGCAGTACAATAACAAAAATGCTGTTGTCAACGGCACCAGTAGGCCACAAGGAAGCAATCAGTCCTTGAACACTCTCAGTAAGTAAGAGGTTTTCTTCTCAAGACAGGGATTTTCTTAGGGCCTGAGTACAGGGGTCTCTGACTGGGAGTTTGTGAGCCACTGGTAGCTCACTGGACCCTGCAGAGCAGCTTGTACATCCCCCTAGGAGACCCAGGGAAAGATCTGCTCTGGGCTTTCTTTTTTCTTTTTAAAGGATATTTCTCTGCTATTTCGCTGGTAGCTTCATTTTTGGTGCTCTTCTTAGTTTGTGTTCTGTTTCTAGGACAGGACAGAACTTGAAAACATGCTGGGGGGGACTAGGCTCAGGATATTTTTCGTTACTCAGAAGTAGCTCTCATTAAAGAAGAGGTTGGTGAGCACTACATTATACACAGACAGGTAGAACTGAGACCTGAAATGGTTGTTATTTTTTAAAGTTAAAAGCTGCTTTGGGAGAAGAGAATTTGGGGGGTGGGGGCGTGAGAGTGTGCTGAACTCTCCGACCCACCTGCTGTTTCTCCACTCTGAAGTCCCATCTTTCTACGTAACTGTAATGGAGTTGGTTTCAGTGACATGCATTTATTTGGCTGTAATGTGTATTTAACGTCCATCTGGCGAAAACCTATTTGTTGCGATGGATTTATTTCATTTAGGTTGTAAATAATCTTATTGTAGAAGTTCTGGCGACACCACCATTGAGCCTCATGTGTCATAATCCAAACAATCCAGTTCACTATGGGATACAGTTTCACAATTTGTCTGGCAAGCCCAGCTCTCCCTGACCTAGTATGAACACAGAGCAGGTTCAGTCCAAGTTCTTCTAGCTGGTGCCAACAGTGAGCACAGCCGGAGCTGCTGTCCCCTTCAGACTGTTGCTGGACCAAGTCTGCAAAGGAGCAAATGCAGTCTTTTAAAGAGAAATCCGTGGGGAACATCACACGTGACGCCTGTTTTCTCCCTGCAGACTGGTTGCTCTCCATGTCCATTCTGTGTCCAAACATTCCTTCAATTCGCTTGAGGTCAAATAAAGTCTTCAGCGTAGAATACAGTCAGAAAGTGATTTAACTTCCCCCTTTCCCCCCCTAAACAGGAAATGACTTGCAGTTGAGTGAATCTGGAAGTGACAGTGATGATTAGACCAAGGTTTCCTGTTACAGATGTGTCAAGGTGCATCAAGAGTAATACTGATGAAGAATCTGGCTTGGGACTCTGCCGTATGAATGTGGCATCAACTAACATGTCACCTTTTGAGAACGTTCCGAAACAATGGCTAATACTCGATTTACCATTTGTATAAATTGTGTATGTTGTGTATATTCTTTTAAAGTTTTAAATAGATACGAATATACTACTCTGATACAGTAATCTGTGTTCTGATGTGCTGACACTTTATAAAGCTATAAGGATGATTATCACAATATACTCCCAGTATGAAGATGGATCGACAGGAAGGAGGGGCCTGAGATGAGTGCATAGAACAGATTGTGTCATTTCGGACAGAAGGTGGGGTTATTGCAGTCTTTGAACACTTCTTCTGTTTAAAAAACAGTCCCCACAAATACAAAATTAACATTGCGTGGAGGATGGGCTAGTTTTCGGTCCCTGAGGAGTTATTTTCTTATTGCATGAAGTCCGGGGGGGTGGGGGGGGCTGTTTGTTTGTTCAATCTGAGAGAATATTTTAAAATATTATTCTCTTCCCACATGATTTCTGAAGTACTACAGCCTATGGTGTCATCCCAAGACTGTAGCGCCTAATTCTGCTTCATGTATAAGCCAGGCCTGATTTCCTAATTTAAGGAGAAAGTTGTCTGTAGAGGGTTTCTGAGGCAGGTCTATAATAGGCACTTAAGTATGCATTTGAAAAGAGGGCATAACACTAATACACTCTGCTGCCCATTTAGGTTAACACAGACTTGTGAATAGCCATGTGCCTGGTCACCCTGGCAAGTGAGAATTGCCTCCAGACAAGGAAGTTTGGGGTTTTTTTAAACTGAAAGCAAGTTGGCTTCCTCCCCCCTTCTCTTAGGCCAGGGGTGGCTAAACTTGATTAACGTAAGAGCCACATAGAATAAACATCAGATGTTTTAGAGCCACAAGGCATATACACGTGTTTTAATTGGAAAATATGCAAATTTGCATATTAAATTAAAGAGACAAATGCCTTCTCCGAGCCAAGCCAGTCTGCCGGTGTGGCGGGGCTTGGAGAACACATTTAACTTTAGATGGGGAGGGAGGGGAGAAGGATAGAAAGAAAGTGGAAAGAAAGCAAATAGATGGGGAACGAAAACAACTTTAAATGTGTCCTCCAAGCCACCCTCGCCGCCAGCTGGCTTGGCTTGGAGAAGGGATTTAAAGAGACAAAGCCAGCCGGGGAAGGGGGGGCGTTGAGAACACATTTAAAGTTAAAGTTGCTTTCTTTCTCTGCTTCCCCCCCACCTCAAGCCTACCCAGGGAGGGGAAGACCAATGGGGGAGGCATGCCTCTCCTTTGCTTCCCCAGCCATCCTGTCGGGAGCTGCACAGTGTGTGTGAAAGAGCTGCGTGTGGCTCCTAAGCCACAGTTTGGCCACCCCTGTCTTAGGCTGTTACTTGCATGGGGCAGGCAGGCCAGTGAAGTTTTCCATAAGTTTGAAGCTTTTATGGACTTAGGAGTCAAGCTAGACATGACAAATCACAGAGAATGGGTTTAACCCTTCTACTCCCTTATGTTTTTGCTTCTCAGAATACACACACATGGGGAAAGAGGGTTATCAATCTTTTGCCCATTTCATTTCCCTTTAAAGAATTATAATGGCATCGGCATCCCAGTTCTGATTTGCTCAGTTTTGTGGGGGTTGAAGGGTTCATCCCCCTCTTTCCACATTGCCTCAGTCAGAATCCAGACCTGATATAGCTGTAATTGGCTGTAGAAAAAAAATGTGATCATGTATCACCCAACAACATCGTGTCTGTTTTTACTCTCATTTACAAAGTTTGGCTTACAACTAGGCAGTACTGGTTTTTGATTCATATGGTGGTTCTGGTTCAAATCTCAAAGGCATAAAAATTATTTTTAAGAAATGTAGGACATTCTGCATACTTCTTGTCTCTGTTTTCACATATGACAGGCACACACATATGCTACCTGTATGTATTAGAAAAACACATGCCAGCCAGTGTGTGCTTCATGTTGCATAGCTACATGGGTGCACGTTGGTAGACAAATGGAATATGTAAAATTGTCTCACCGGTGACACCTGTGTTAGAAATTCATCCTGTTTTCCTTCACCTCTGTTGAAAGTGACAATGGAACGCTGAGTTCTTCCAAATAAGAAAGATATTTCCCCATACAGAGGTCGCAGAACAAAAACTACCTGATCACATACTGGATTTTGCTTCTACACAGTGAATTTTTACCTGTGATTTGGCTTGTTCAGCAGAGGACACAACCCAGCACACGCCGTATCCTTTATAAGATGCACTGTGTGGAACTCATTGGCTAGTGGGTCGTGCAGCTGTTACAATAAGTAGCAGAGTACTAATGCGGAAATCAAATCAATCAAAATGATGTTTAATAAAAGGTAAGGGTGCAATCTAGGTGCCCAGTAGCTACTGGTGCCAACAAATCTGGTCTTGGTGACTGGCTCCTGGTCAGCTGTGGCAGGTAGGAAGTAGGTTTCTCCTAATCTGACTCTAAAAACCCAATCAAGAATTAACATTTTCAAGATTACACAGAAAAAGGAGGAATCTTCAATCTCATCTGTTATCGACGTCTGTCAAGGAAGTGATCTAGGCTTTTTTAATTTAATAGGTATATGTATGTTTTGTAAAGAGAAACACTGCAGAAGATAATAAAATAGAAATTATTTTCCTAGATTAAATTGATTGATAGTTCTGTATGCAGCTTTGCTTTATTATATAGCTACATTTTAAAATTAGTTTTTAAATAATGCTCTGTGAGACGAACACCTAAATCAGAAATAAGCTGGTGGTTTTCAACCATACATCATCAGGATGGAGAATATAGTGAATACTCGTCACATTTTGCTTTACAATAAAATGCTGAGAGAACTGAGCCATACATTTTAATATCATGCTGCAGATAGTTCCGTGGCTAGTTATACAAATATACAAGGCTATGTGTATCCCATGACTCTGCAAAAATGCAGAACTTGATATTCAGCATCTTAAAAATCTTGCTAGTCCTTAAAGTTGTAAAGGTAGGACTGAGAGCACATGGCTGCTATTTGGTGAAATCTCAAACTAGAGAATGTTGGATTTTCACTGTTGAAAGGATGGGACTTCAGTGTCAGCGGCCCACCTCATGACTAGCAGAAGACAAAGTAACCAAACATGCCATTTTTTTCTTAATTTACATGATATGTATAGACTGCTTTGGATCTTGGTTTGCCTTACCAAAGTATATATACGATAGCCTTCAAAAATTGAAATATGCACTAAAAGGCAGGAGAAAACCTTTGGTGTTTTTGATGGTTCACAACGGGCTGTCTTGCTGCAAAGAACATGTCCTGGCTTTTGTAACTTACATACCATCCTACTGATCACTGAAAACTGCCAAAGGAATTAAACATTACATTAGACAGAAGTGGCACATAACTCAGATTATAATACACTGTTTTGGAGGAACTGCCTCAGATTTATTTGCATTGTTATTGTTTGGATATCGTATGTTTACATTTATGTAAAGTATATGTAGATATATATATTACTTGTAAAAAAATAGGGTTTTTTCTTTCAAATTTATTTAAATAAAGCACAGATTGAGTGCTTTATTTCTTTCTGATATTTTCCTTCCTCATAATATTAGAATGTGGTGTCATGCAGTTAAATTGGTACTAGGTTCAGAATAAACAAAAGGAAGTACTATTTTATGAAATGACTTCAGGAATAGAATGTCACAAGATCCGGCAATGGCCGCTAACCTAGATAGCTTTTTCAGACTTTAGAACATTCATGAAAGATGGCTAAGGAAAGAAGATGAAGAAGAATCAACTCACAACCAACTCATGGTGACCCCCAGTCCCAGGACGGTCCAGGTAAGAGGGTGCAGACATAGTTTGCCACTGCCTTCCTCCGCATAGCAACCCTGGTCTTCCTAGGTAATATGTTTAGTAAAGGAAGAATTGTATGTACATATATTCAATCCAATATTACAATCTATAAAAATACCTGGTGATAGCGATTTTATTACCAGGTATTTTTATTTGTAAGAACGTATGTTATATGTATGTATAATTTTCTTATTTGCTTATGACCAACTGGTCTGCAAGCATTGGAGCCAAGAATCCGAACTATAAATACACGTTGATTCATAGATCTTACATTCCAGGTTCCTATGCAGTATTGTTCTTTGCAGCATCGGACTTTCCTTTCACCATCAGACACATCCACAACTGAGCGTCCCTTCGGCTTTGGCCCAGCCGCTTCACTCTTACTGGGTTACTTGTACTTGCCCTCTGCTCTTCCCCAGTAGCATATTGGACACCTTCTGACCTGAGGGGCTCATCTTCCGGTGTCATATCTTTTAGCCTTTTGTTACTGTCCATGGGGTTTTCTTGGCAAAAATACTGGAGTGGGTTGCCATTTCCTTCTCTAGGGGATCACGCTTGGTCTGAGTTCTCTGCTGTGGCCTGTCCGTCTTGGATGGCCCTCCATAGCCCACAGCCTCATCGAACCACGCAAGCCCCCTCGCCTCGACAAGGCAGTGATCCATGAGGGGGTAAGTGTAAGACTTATCTAACAAGATATGAAACCTGTAGAACAAATTCTATTCATTTTTCTGTGCACTAAATGGAAGATATCTACCACCGTCACCATCCCTCCAAAACAATGCTTCTACCTGCCTGAATTTTTGACCAGTTCCATGTAAGCTACCATTCCTTCAGTGTTGCCAAGCTGCTCTCTTCTCAGTCCCAGATTTTTCCCACACTATGTCCGTTTCCTCCTGCCATTAATAGAAGCAAGACAAGCACCAACAGTGCTACCAGCAGGGGTCATTTCGTAGAAAAAGAGCTAGGGGAACTCATTAGCATAACTCATTAGCATATGCCACACACCCTGACATCAGGGGCCCGGCGGTGGGCCTGCAAGGCCAGCGGGAGTGCGAGGAAGCCCCGCCAAGGCCCTCCCTGGCCCCAGGCAGGCAGGGGTGGGGAGAGGCGGGGAGGAAGCAACTTACCCTCCCTCTTCTCCTGCCTCCTCCTGGCTGAATGAGGGCCGGAAGCGGGGCAGCTGGAAGCAGGGGGCGGGGCTTCGTCATGTGCCCCGCCCCCTGCACCTCACCCAGGGGAACTGCGTTCCCCCGCATTCCCCCCCGAAATGACCTCTGGCTACCAGCACTACAGGGGTTCCACTTGGACTGGGGCAGTGGTGTGGATCAGGTACGTGATGATGCATGTAAGTCATCCAGGTTGCCTCCTCCTGCCCCACTGGCAGTAAGATGAGTCCCAGCAGCACTGCCAGAGCCTCTGGAGCTTACCTGGGGCCTGGGTGGCAGTGCCACATAACTGGGAGGCTTATGACGGAGCCACACTCAATCAACTCTTCTCGTCCTACCACTGTCTGGCACCAACATGAGCCCCAGTGGTGGGGTGGCCAGTGCCTCTGGAGCTTGTCT